AAGGGTTTTAAATCTTATTTAAAAAGAATCAACTCTTTGTTTCATTAATCATGTGTGTTATTCTTCTTCTCTCTATCTCGTTCTGACCTTTATTTCAGTTCTGACCTTTATTACTTCTTTCCTCATCTTGAGTTTGGTTTAGATGTTTCTAAGACCCTGACAAGCAGCACTAGAGTATTCGTTTGTAATCTCCCTGATTTTTTTAGTGTAGAACTTATAGCTATAAACTTTCTTCTCAGGCTTGCCTTTGCTGTATCTCAGAAACTCTGGTGTGGTGGACTTCTGTTTTTTGTTTGATTTTAGGAATTTTTAAGTTTCCTTTCTTTTTTTTTTTTTTTTTTTTTTTTGTCTTTTTCATCAGTACCGGGGATCGAACTCATGACTGCCTGCTTACAAGGCAGGCGCTTATGCCACTGAGGTAAATCCCCAGCCCCCTTCCTTTCAATTTTTTCAATCATCTATTGAACATTCAAAATGAATTGTTTGATTTCCACGTGTTTTCAGAGATGGTGCCATTGGGGTTGGACTCCTGGGAGATGACCAGCAAAGGTAGATTTTTACCCCCAGCTTCACCCTTCTCTAACTGCTTTCTGGCACCACATGTGAGCGCCTGTCATCTGCCAAGCCCTTCCACCATGCTATTTCTGCCTCAGAGCCTAGCAACCATGGACTGAGCCATCTGAAAACCATGAGCCAAAAGAAAGCTCTCCTCCTTTATACTGTGGGTACTGGTGTTTGCTCCACTGACCGGAAAGTGATTAATGCCCTGGAGTATCCTACTGTTAAATCATAGACCACTCCTTGAAGTGGCTCTTGACTGTATCACTCTTCAATATCCAGGGTGCTAGAAATTTCTTCTCCAAAGTGAGCTTGCCATGCTGGAGTCACCTTCAGAGTAAAACCCCACTTGCAGCTTGCAGCCTACTTGCAGCTTATAACTGTGGGTTTCTTCTGGGGAAACACTCCTAGTCTCTTTATCACCGAGGCTGATGCCCTCTCCTAGCTTCTGGCTCTCCAGGAACCAGGCTCAGTGCTCCAATCTGCTGCGTTCTTTTGTCTCTACCGTTTTCTCTTTCTCCAAGAATTTTAGTGCTCTCAGCAATTTCTCTCTGTCTCTCTCTGTCTCTGTCTCTGTCTCTGTCTCTCTCTGTCTCTCTCTGTCTCTCTCTATCTCTGTCTCTGTCTCTGTCTCTCTCTCTCTCTCTCTCTCTCTCTCTCGCTCTCGCTCTCGCTCTCGCTCTCGCTCTCTCTCTCTCCTTGTTAAGTAGTTGTCTTCTAGTTATCTCAATTCCTGGCCCTGACAAGGCTGTGATGAGCCTCTGGCTTCTACTTTGCCATATTAGTCACAGTATTTTTCAACCGATGAGCCCCGTTCAGGCACCTTGGATCATTTTGAATATCTTTAAAATCAAAAATGAGGCCAGACCTAGTGGCACACACCTGTAATTGCAGCCCTCAGGAGGCTGAGGCAGGAGAACCACTGTGAGTTCGAGACCAGCCTGGGCTACCACGTGAGCTGAAGGCCAGCCTGAACTGCATAGAAAGACCTTGTCTCAAAGAAAGGCAGAATAAATAAATAAATACAAATAAAAGTGAGTCACTGTTGGGATCAAATGAGATTTCTTTCAGGTGTCTGTAAAAACAGAAAGAAAAAGGACCAGTGATCCCCAAGGCACATTAAAATTTGAGTGTTAAGATAAAAATGAGAATCCAGGTAAGGAGAAAACGAAATAAAAATGAGGGAAGCAAGTTTGTGGTCTTTTTCAGTGATAGTGGTTGTTGTAGTTTTTGTTTGTCATTGCTGTTGATTTTTAAAGTAAGGTACACAACCTTATGGTAAACATATAAATCACCAAACTTGTGCTATAGTGAAGCAAATTAATGTCACCATCCCACAGAAGCAAATTAATGTCACCCACCTCCCTTTTAGTGATAAGAGCAAAAAATACCTACTCAGTTAGCAGGACCCAAGTACAGTACTAATTTACTAACTGTCTGAGAGAAAGCTTGAGAAAGCCTTCTGTCTGCTGGCAATTTATAAATTTATGTCTGCAGCTATAAATCCTGGTTTAGACAGCCAGAAGATATTTTTGCAGCATAACCGAAACCTAATTCTTAATTTTCTCCACCATATTTGAAGGTCTTATTCGACTTTCTTTTTTTTCACTAAGTGGCTCCCACTAGTCCACTTCATTAGGAAAAAAAATATGGAAAAATTAGAAAAATAATTCTTTGCCACTTCCCTGAACTTCCACCCTGAATACAGTCTGCATGAAATTTTATTGGCTTTACATTTAAAATGCATCCAAAATATGATTGCTTGCCTACGTTGCTACAATAGATGCTTAAGAATCCTGAAGCACTCCTACAAAATAGCTCTTCTCCTCCTCTGTGGGAAAAGTTACTCATTTAAAATGCAGGCCTCATTGTGCTGCTCTTCTGTTCAAATCCTTTGGGGGCTTCGTATCCTGCTTAGAACAAAATCAAAGTCATTCGTGTGGCCTATAAATCCGCCAGCATCCTCAACTTTGCCTCCTTTCATGTCAACTCCTGCTGCTCCCCTTCGATGGGAGCCTCAAGCCATGCAGCCTCCTTGTGCTCTGTGAAAAGCAGCGGGGAACAGGATAAGACAGAGATGATGAGATGCGGGGTGTGGGTGCCACGCTGCCTGAGCTTGATCCCTGGCTGTGCTCATGCTCATTCTGTCACCTTGGATAATTAATCCTTTCCCCTTTCTGTGTGTCAGTCTCCTTATCTATAAATCATATGTAGTAATGGTATCACCATCCCAAAATGTTGCTAATAATATAAATCCATCAAACCACATAAGCTGTCAGAGATTAGCTATCATCAACATCGTTGTCATTACTATGACTACCACTACTATTGTGTCTCTTTAGTCAACATTTTCATTATCATCAATAGTTTACATGACTGCCAGCACTCTGCCACCACTGTCATCATCCCCATCACCACCATCATCATCAATCATCTGAATGATCAATGTCACCACCCCATCATGAGCCTCCTTTGCCTCCTCCTCCTCCTCCCAGATTTCTGAGGATGCCCTTGTTTTCGCCTCTGGGAAAAACTGCTAAACCAAAAGGAACCAGGACTTGATACCGTGGGAAATTTTTGGCTTATTCAGATTACAAAAGATGCTAAATTCAGGAGACGCATTGCCAAGAAAGTGTGCTTGAGAGGAAAAGCCAAAGTTGCAGCTGGCCAATGCTTTGCGAGTGCTTTGGTAAAAATAAAAACATGAGGGTATTCATACACATAGAAGACTGTGTGGGCATCAGGCTGTGTGACTCCCTCAACCTCAGTGAAGCCACAGAGGTAAGATTAATCAGGAATGGTTTGTAGAGGACCCTCCAGGCTAACGGGGTAAATCCCCGTGACATACATGGGAAACCCATAAGGCTTTTGAGAAAGTATCAGTAGAAACTTTGACTGCTTGTACCAAAAGAGACAGAAATGAAGGGAAGCTATCAGACTCCCAAAATTCTCCAAACAGGAAAAAGCCTGATAAAACTATGCAGGTGATAAAATATTCTACCTTTCATGGAGGAAAAAAAAGTATGACCATGGAGACAGAACCATGGCCTAGCAAGGGACTATTTGGGCCCCTGGGTGTGGAATCCTGGGTCACAGGCTGACCTGACAATCCAGGGGCACAGGTATGTCCTCCAGTGATTATTCTCAGGTCTTAGAAACTAAGGGAGTTTGCCTTGTTTGATTTCAGTTTCTCTTTGGAGTATTTTTCTTTCTAGTTTCTCTTTTTTGGAGTAAGAATGTCTGTAGCAAGTACCTATAACTGTCCCACGGCTGTATTTTGGGAGCAGATACTTTATTTATAGCTCTTCAGGTCCAAATATGGGGAGCAATCCTGTCCCAGAATAGTTTCAAAAATGAAAAAAACAATGGGCTTTTTGAAGATTGATAGAAAATGGATATTCCTGTACTTTATACATTATACAAGTGATATCAGTTGTATAATATATGTGTATGTGTATATATGTATAATATATTTGTATGTATAATATATAAGTACAATACATAGTATATGTATAAACAAGTAGCATATATGCATAATATATGTATATGTGTATAATATATATGTATACATTAAAATATACTATATATGTGCATGTGTATATATGTATAATATGTATGTATGTGTATATGTGCATGTATAGGTATAACATATAATATATAAAGCACACAGTAAGCACTTAGAGTTAAACACCACTAGTAACTAGTACTTCAAAGCACAATTTAACGCTGAGCCCTCCCATCCAACCTGTGCACTGAAACTGCTCCCCCAGCACTTCACTGAGAAGCAATCGGCCGCTGCGTCTTTTCATTCTTGCCTCACTGCTGTACTGTACCAAAGGGCTTCATCCTGCCTGTTCTCTGTTGACCCCTGTCTGTGCCCCACTGCCCCCCCAGGAGCATGACCAGAGCGTACAGTGTCCCCAGTGCCCTGGTCCTGTCACTTCAGGTGGGTTTGGCCCACGGGAGCCAGGGCAGGACGGGGCAGCTGGGAGCAGAGGGGCGCATCCCGCTGTGTCTGCGTGGCCTCCCTTCCTCAGAAGCTGCTTTCTCCCCAGAAACCACAGCTCTTCCCGCTGGTTCCGTGTGTATCCAGCTCTGCATGGCCCTGGATAAGTTTGTGTCCCTTCTCCCCTTCCAGGTTCAGGAGTGGCCGGACTCCCTGCGATGGCTGGCCTGGACCTCCTTGCTTCCTGACTCACAGCGGTCACAGAGAATCCCACTGTCACGTTTTCCATAAATCGAATACCTAACCACCGAGCTGTTCATTTTCCAGCTGACAGCTACATCGGGCCTTATACTTGCCATTCTGTGTTACTTTATGCTCTTTTACTGCTATGTCTTTCCTCGAGGAGAAGTTACTGGGTGGAGAGGGGAGGAGCATTTCAAAGGCCTTTGCTGCACACCCATAAGCAATGATTTATAACTTACACTGTTTTTAAGTTTCATTTGAGCATCAGCTGAGAGATTCCCTTACTGCACATGGAGGCACGCTGGCTGTCACCAAACCCCAGCCTGTGAGGCGCTGGCCTCTCCAGGTTGCAGGAGCGGCAGGTCCTGGTGAGGACTCTCCCTAGCGCCCGTTTCATCTCGCTGTTCCTCAGGGTGTATATGACGGGGTTGAGCAGCGGGGTTCCCAGCGTGTACACGAGGGAGATGAGCTGATCTTGCCCTGCGCGGTAGCTGCGGCCGGGGCGCAGGTACATGAATGCACAGCAGCCATACTGCAGCAGGACCACCGCCAGATGGGAGGTGCAGGTGGAGAGGGCCCTGCGGCGCCCTGCTGCTGACCGAACCCTGCGCACTGCGGCCACTATGAAGGCATAGGAGGCGGCGATGAGGGAGAAAGGCACAGCGATGGCCAGCGTGGCCGCCCCCAGCACTGACCACTCGTGGATGCGGCCGCTGGCACACACGAGCTGCAGGACAGGGGGCACGTCACAGAAGAAGTGCTGGATACCCCGGGCGCGGCAGAATGGCAGAGAAAAGATGAAGGCTACGAGCTGTGAGGACAGGAAAAAGCCAAGGATGCCAGATGCCACCACCAGGCGGACACAGACAGCTGCTGTCATGACGAGAGGGTACTGCAGGGGGTGACAGATGGCAGCGTATCGGTCATAGGCCATGGCAGCCAGGAGCAAGCAGTCTGCACTGCCCAGGCCAATGAAGCAAACCATCTGAGCAGCACAGGCCAGGAGGGTGATGCTCGGCTGGGACCGCAGGGCATTGGCCAGCATGTGTGGCACCACCGCCGCGGTGTAGCACAGCTCTATCCCCGAGAGGCTGCCCAGGAGGTAGTACATGGGCATGTGCAGGCGGGCTTCGGTCTGGATGGACACCACGATGAGCACATTCCCAGCGACGATCAACACATAGACCAGGCTGAGGCCAAAGAAGCATAAGACACGCAGCTCCAGGCGGGAGGGATAGGCCAGGAAGAGGAACTCCACCAACACCGACTGATTTTCCCCACTCATGGAGCTGATAGCTGAACCTCCAGCGATGTCTGGAAGAGAAGAAAGTCTCAGACTGGTGCTGTACCACCGTGCTGGTGGTACAGTTGTCAGATTTCCCACCGAGGACACAGAACTGACACCCACACCTTAAAGGAGGAGAGGTTTCTAGATTTAGTGTGCACCTGGCAGCGGGGCACAGTGAAGTAAAGCTGCTTTGTTGGATGGAGGCAGCCTTGAAACAGCAGAATGGTGCCAAAGAGGAAGGGGCCAGGGTGCAGAGGGCACCCAAGGTCACACTCCCAGGCCCACCCAGCCCCTGCTCCACCCATCCTGCCTGATCCCGAGGCAGTGGAGTCAGCAATCAAGCTTAGCTGACACAGGTTATGGGTTTATACCCTGAGTCAGGAGTCCAGTTTACTAACGAGGGCTGGAGCTCCAGATTAGAAAGACCAAGTCCAGATTCTCCCTCCCTCCCTCCCTTCCTTCCTTCCTTCCTTCCTTCCTTCCTTCCTTCCTTCCTTCTTTCTTTTCTTTTAGGTCCACTTTTACAAAGTCTTCTCACATAAATATCTACAGCCCAATTTCTAGTTGCCAAGAGTTGACCCAAATTATTCTGGACACTAAGACAAAAATGGGAGAAGAAAAAAAAAACTGAAAGAGTAAATAAGATCCAAAATGTACAATAGATATTGTGAAAGTGAAAGGCAAAGAAACTGCTCACAAGGAAAGAGTAACTGGGATGGGGAAGGAGCAAAGAAAAAAGGGAAAAGATTTTATACATACATATATGATAATTATACTACTAATCTCAGTTCACCAAAAAGAATAGTGTATGCTTTCATTGTCTGATCATTTTTTCATGTCTGAATCTTATCATCTAAACAACTACTTTGTTTTTTTGTTTAGAGAGAAAAACAAAACAAAACAGTAAAAGGGTACAAGTAATACAGAATTTCAAGAGAAAAAATATTCAGTAAGAAATCACTAGTTAAGAGATTACATATTGTCGTCTCAGAAACATTTGTCCAGATTACAAAATTAAAGCATACAAAGTGGACATTCATACAGTGAGATTGCATACAGTTCTGTTCAATGATCCAACAAATACTGAGTAATATGGATTTCTATCCTACACACTTAAATATACATGCAGTTATATCCTTTAGATCACTTTCTTTCCTCTCTTTTTTATGATAACAATTACACATTTTGGGTTTTATTACCCCCACAGTTCTTATAACTTTTTCTTTGAAGAGGAAAAAAAAACCAAAGCAAAACAGAACAAAAAAAAAAAAAAACCCCAGTGTGACAAAGCAAAACAAAGTCAGTTAAAACAGGAGATGGACATAGTATATAATGCAAAAAGAGATTACCAGGTGGTCAACAATGGTTACCATTATGCCTCTTGCTATTGTAAAAAGAGTTGCCTGTATCATCTGGTATAATAGAATTGACCAAAACAGTACAGAACAAGACCAATAAAACCCAGACTGGAGACCTTACAGGACTTCCAAATAAGTTAATAGTCAAACCATAATGGGCATCGTAGAATATCTTGTTGCCTTCAAAGTGTTGCCTATACCCTCAAATTTTATACTATTAAGCAAAACAGAATATAATAAAACCAGTCAGAACAAGATGTGGAGAACAATACAAGGGTTCAAATCAGGTTCATAGTAAAACAAAAAAGTTACTCTAATATATCCCGCTATTTTTAATTTAGTTTTCCCTTAATTAAAAGATAATAAGAAATAAATTAATTTTTTTAAAAAGGGGGGGAGATTGAGATAAAAGAGAACGTATCAATAGAACAACACAGATCAGAACTGAACAATTTAAGCATCATTGTGTTTCACCACCAGATATCCTGACATTAATAGTAGTTACCATAGTGTCTCTTTCCTTGAAATATTTGAGTCTAACTTTGTATACTATAGCATCAAACTTAGCAAGACAGTGTGAAACCATTCAAGAGAATAAAAGTATTGCAGGGTATTTAGAACCAGCTAACAGAAACTAAACCATGGTTTCTATATTCTCTTTGCCTATAAAAAAATTTTGCTTATACTATCACATATATTAAAATATAATAAGATACAACACGCTAAAACCAATGGAAACAGACGAGCAACAACTTGATGGGGTTTCAAAACAGGATGATATTAAATCAGCACTAGCTATTATGCTGTCTTATTTTCTTCAAAATAGCTATTCATACTATCACAGACAATAAAATCAAACAACCCAGATTAAAACCATTCCAATTAATGAGTGAAAACATCATATGGCTTCAAACCAGTATGACTGGGAATCATGATTACCATGTACTTTTATGTAGTCTTATCATTTCTTACACTAGGGAAACTATTCGGTATTTATACATGTGAGTTTGATTTATTTCACTTATGAGTATGTCTCAAGCTACATCCATTTATTTATAAATGTCTCGGTGTGATCATTTTTTACAGCTGAGTATAAAAATACCACAACTTTTTTATCCATTCCTCAGTTGATGGACAATTAGGTTGTTTCTGAGATCTGGCTATTACAAATTGTGCTGCTATAAACATGGGTGCACGTATATCACTGTGGTATGATGCTTTCAGTTCTTCTGGGAATATGCCTAGAAGTGGAATAGCTGGAACAAATGGGACTCCCAATCCCAGCTTTCTGAGAAATCTCCAGATTGACCTCCACAATGGTTGTACTAGTGTACACTCCCACAACAGTGCAGGAGAGTTCCTTTTTCCCCACAGCCTCTCCAGCATTTGTTGTTGGTGGTTTTCTTGATCTTGGCCATTCTTTAAGGAGTGAGATGAAATCTCAGTGTGGTTTTAATTTGCATTTCTCTAATGACTAATGATGATAAACATTTTTTCATGTATTTATTTGCCATTTGTATTTCTTCATCTGAGAATTGTGTATTCATTTCAGATGCCCATTTTTGGATTGGGGCTTTGAATATTGGGGGTCTGATTTTTTTTAATTGTTTATTTTCTTAAGGAGAAAAAGAAAAAAACAGAAAAAGGGTACAAGCTATACAGAATTTCAGAAAAAATAAACAATAGGAAATCACTAGTTAATAGATTACATATTGTTATCTTAGAAATAGTTGTTCAAGTTACAAAATTAAAACATATAAAGTGGACTTTCAAACAGTGAAACTGGAAACAGTTTTGTTCAGTGATCCAACAAAACTCAGTAATATGGTTATCTATCTTATGCTCTTAAGTATATATGCAGTTATACTCTTTAGAGCACCTTCTTTTCCTTTCTTTTGTACAATTACAATTACACATTTTGGGTTTTATTACTCCCACAGTTCTTATTACTTTTTTCTGAAGAGAGTAAAACCAAATGTGACATAACAGAACAGAGTCAGTCAAATCAAAAGGATGGACATAATAGATAATATAAAAACAAAATACTAGGTGATCAATAATGGTTACCATACTGCCTCTTGCTATCTTAAAAAGAATTGCCTATATCATCAGTTATAATAGAATTGAACAAAACAGTAAAGAATAAAACCAAAACATTGGAGACATTACAGGACTTTAAAAGAAGATAATAGTCAACCGGAATGGGCATCATAATGAATCTTATTGTCTTCACAGTTGTTGCCTATACTTTCGAACTTGGTACTATCAAGCAAAGTGGAAATAGAGGAAAATCAGTCAAAGCAAGATGGTGAGGGCTATACAGGATTTCAAATCAAGTTAATAGGAAATCAAAGTGAATTACTATAATATATTCTGCTTTTTTATTTTTCCCTTAATTAAAAAGATAAAAATAAAAAAGTAAATAATTCTTAAAAAGGAGACTGAGATAAAAGAGGGCATAACAACAAAACAGCGCAGGTCAAAGCATAACCACTTAAGCAAAATAGTTTCACCACAAGATATCCTGACATAAAAGTTTTAATTCTTTATATTAACTACTTTGAAGATAACAACACGCAGTATATTAACCATTGTTTATCTCCTATTATTTTGTTTTGAAATTCTGTACCCTCATCTTTATTCTTTTCCAGTTTTAAAATTTTAAAAAGGGGAGAAAGAAGTAGGTAAAATCTGGAAATTATTTTCAGAAAGGAGTGAAATGAAAATTAAATTTTGTCAGTAAACACACAAAAATGTGTCAAGGAATTCCTGGGGTTGGAAGCCATTTGAGTGAGGGAAGGAAGCCAGTCAGTCTTTCATTCATTCATGTACTTACATATTTCATCTGTGTGTTACAGTGTCTCGTGAGAAATTAAATCAGTGATACATGGATGAAATACTCAGAAACACATGCTGTGACAGAAAAAGGAGAGAGATTTTTACATAGGCCTGAGCCTGATAATTCTGAGAGAGCCACAGGAAAACGCCTCCTAATTCTTGATTGCTGTCACCTAATCTGATTAGGAAAAGTATAAGAGGCTTGAAGGAGACAGGGTATTTAATCATGGGCTTTCTCTTGTTTGCTGAAAGTATGATCAAAAACCGCTAGAAACCCCAGACCCAGCCTCTGAGTATGGGCTGAGCATGCAAGGCCAATCCAATCCCCTTTGCCCCTCTCCACTCCGTCCTTCTAAGGAGCTCATATCTTAAATACGAGAAAGGCCACCAGGCTCTCATGAAAATCTTTTCATGAGCAGACATAACTCGCAAAAGACATCCAGTCAATCTTTTTCCCCCAACCAGCTCATATTTAAGAAAGTGGGAAGAGGGACAGCTTATTTTTCTCTGGCCTGCCAAATCCATATACTTCCTGCCACTGCACACAATACTTGAAGAAAAATTTCTCTCCAGAATCATCACTTCTGGTAAAAATCATTCACATAAACCCACTGGCTCAATTACTTTTCTCCTGTTGCTGAGACAAAATGCTCAGTACTCAAAGTTAAAGGACAAAAGGTTCCTTTTGGTTCACAAACCCCTGGGTTGTAGGGGTTTCAGTCCTTACTCGGCTGGCTCCAAGGCAGGGTGGCACGTGACAGAGGGGCAACACATCGTGGTGGGCTAATGGGAGCAAAGCAA